GTTATAGTTACAAGAAATGGTTTACTGTTAGTATGTAGCTTATTTGAGTACTAATAGTCAATTTCAGATCAAGGCTTTTTTTTTGTTGATAAGAGAAATGTCTGTAGGAAAGGAGGTAGGATTTCCCCTTACAGAACAACCTGAACTTGGAATTTGTTTGGCAGATGTCATCCTTTCACTTCCAAAAGCAGAAGGAAACCTAACTTAGCTGCTACTACCAGATGAAAAGTTAGGCCTAATAAGTTGCCAACACTCAGAGTCTAATTATTGAAGCTGCTTGCCAAGGTACTATCACTTGAAGATTAAAAGGATGCACACATTCATTGCTAAGGCTGGAGAGAGTGTCATTAAGACAGCTTGCAGGCAGGCTGACATTTTCACAGTTTTAGGTTAGATAAGTTTCTACATCTATCCGAGAGATTTGACCAAGTATGCCTGCCTTGGCCATATTGAAATATGTTGATTTCAGCTTAGGGGTAAAATTTCTGTGGAAGCAATCTGGCATTACACCATAATGACCATTAATTGCTTAAACTACTATCCACCCTTCAAATACAAAGACATACAAAATATTACCTGAGGTAAAAATGAAGATTTTCACTTCTTCTTTCCTCCTCATAAAATTTTGTACCTTAAGTTTTGGAAGTCAGGTATGTTTTATCCTGCCATTTACTCACAGAAGAAGATGAGCTTGCTGGTTACGGAGTCAGGGGCAGAGCTGAGGTGAATCCTCTTTACTTTTTTAGCAGAGAAATAAAAAGTCTGTTAGGCATGGAACTTGGAGATCATAAAGTACTTTTTAAGGTTTCCAGGAAAACATATTCCCTTCATAGTCTTAAGTTTTTATCATGATTTTAGTTTTGTACATCAGCCTGTTGTTGATAAACACAAATTTATTATCATCTGGGGATCAACATTTCTTTTATTATGACTTTAGTTGTATCAATCAGCCTGTTACCAAAAAACACAAATTTGTGTTAGTTCTATGATCAATATTTTGAGAAGGGATAAAATAGGAATCATCTGAGAGTTTTTAAAACAATCTTGGTCTAAAATAACTGGTAGAATAAAAATATATTGTACAAACAAACAGGGCAAAAAAGCTAACATGCAGTCTGTGGATGAAAGTAACTAGCAGGTCAAGTGAGTTCAAAGGCTAAATATGTAATTGATTTTTCCCTATTGCCTTAGATGTATGAGTTCTTTTAATTTTTAAAATTCTACATTTCATTCCCCCCCCCCGGGGTGTGTGTGTGTGTGTGTGTGTGCGTGTGTGTGTGTGTGTGTGTGTGTGTGTAACATCAACCATTGAATTTAATTAACTAAAAATTTGAAATGGTCATTTTTAATGACATCTTATACCAGCAGGTAGAAATAGGTATCTATTCATTTTTTATAGATTGTACATTGTAAATAAATTATTTACAAACTTAAATGAGTATAACAATAAAAATTGTATAAACATGAAGAAAAGAGAATTTACAGATCAGTCATATAATAGTTCACTCTGTGCCAAAATCAAGAAACTTATATTCATATAATTAGAATTCTCAAAATAGAAAGGGGTAGGCAATCAATATTTAAAGATTTAATTGAAACTGTCCTACTAATCAGTTTTGAAACTGTCTCATTGCTATTTGTTTCTCAATAAAATTAATAAAAAATAAGAGATTTAAAATTTTTGAAGTTAGTTGGAATTATAGCTGTATACTATAATATTCTTTTGTATTACATAGCCTACAGGGGCTTAGAAATTGCTTACACTGTGAAGAAGAGTTTCTTGATGACCTTTGATCAGTATTAGTACTTATTTGCTCCAGGAATGCCAGCTTCTTGCTGTTCCCTGAACATGCAGGGACACCCCTGCCTCAATCCTAAATCCCCACCATTTATGAGTTTTAATCAAATGAGGGTTATGATTCCACTCCTGTGTTGAACCAGTCACTGTGCATGTTGTGATGACAATAAGCTACAGTCGAACAAGGAATGAAGCAGTTGGGGGCAATTACAGTTGTCTGGCCTAGAGATAGTGGTGGCCGAGGTGCAAAGGAGCTGGATTCAGGGTATATTGTGGAGGTGGAGTCAGCGAAGTTGCTTCTACCTTAAATGTATGATGAGAAAGAAAGATACTAGTTAGGATCATCCTGGAATTTTTAACTAGAAAGACTGAAAAGGATTGAATTGCCAGATACTGAAATGGGGAATATGTACTAAGGAATTTGATAAATAAGTATCAAGCATAGCATCAGTAATTTGTTTTGTTCATAATGATTGGATAAATTAAATTTGAATTTGGAAAAGGGGTGGGATGGAGATGGACCACTTGGCATTTATCAGCATGTAAATATTATTTAAATTCATGGGTCTAGATGAGACCACCTGGGGCTTTAGAGAAGGTCTCAGAGGTAAGGCTGGGTGTGCTCCAGTGTTTAGAGATTGTGAAGAACAGAAGTGGGTACAAGTAGAGTGGAGAAGAAACTCTGGTCCTGGGAATCAAGTGAAGTATGTTCCAGCAAATGAGTGATTGGTCAGCTGTGTCAGACTGCCGCTGGTAGGACACCAAGATGAAGACTAACAGTGGCCATTGAATTTGGCAGTGAGGCTGTCATTCATGACCTTTGGTGCAGTGGTATGGTGGAAAGGCTGATGAGAGAATAAAAGATTCTGATATAGACTTGTTATTTTAAGAACAAGAGATGGTTTTATAAAATAGAACCAAGAAATGAGATGGGAGCTACAGAAAGATGTAAAGTCAAGAAAGATTTTTTTTAAATGATGTTTTCATGCTGAAGGGAGTGAATAAAAAAGAAAAAAACTGATTATAAGAAAGACAAGGGGAACAGCTGGTGGTATTTTGTGTTCTTTGATGCCTATTCTTTCTTCTGGGGCACTGTACAGAGTACCAGGAAAAGGCTTCAAGAGTTTTCTTTTCTATACCCCTGACTCCTAGTAAACTAGATGCCCCTCTTATAAACTCTCACTTAACTCCATATTGTTACTTGTTACATTGTCTTTAATCTAAAGAACTATGCTTAATAGGATATATTAGTTTTAGAGTCCTCTAGAACCATACCTTTATGGAAATCTTGGACTATAACAGATGGTAAGAATTATGCTACGAGTTTACCAACCTTTTTCCATTCAAAATGACAAGCTGCTTGTAGGTTTAGGTGACCTTTGTATTGTCACTTGTGTTGAGTTGTAAGGAGCCTATGCATAATGACATTTAATACTAAGAACAGTTGCTCATCTCTGACCCTCAATTCTCTTTGTCACCATTGGCATCCTTGTGACACAGTGGCTTCTGCTACTCTGACTTGCCTTCACTCTGATTTCATTTACTCCGCTCTCATTTTTGTTTTTCTGTTACAAGGTTATACTTGTGGGGATGGAGAAATGTTCTGTCCTTAGCCAGAGGTTGATGCAAGTTAAAGATGTTGTAAGCAGTAAAATAATGAAACAAACAACTAGGTTGATGGTAGTTATCATTGTTATCTTCTGAGCTCAAGGTTTATATCTCTGCCTGTATTTTCAAGGTTTTAGGTTAGAATTTAAAATTAGGGCCAGAACCTTGAAGCCAGTTGCTCAGGTTTTTGTACAAAGAAGTGGGGATGGTGGTGGAATCATCTGTAAGAGGTGGCATAGGTATTTGTGTGTAGTTCATCCACAGAAGTTTGTATGGCTCATTTTTTTATGGGAGAAATCAAAGAAGATACTGGGAGCTTTTTAGTAGTCACAGAATAGAAAAGACAGATATATATATATTCTATCTGTCTATGTGTCTGTCTGTCTGTCTGTCTATTGCTGTAGACCTACCATGAGTTCTTTGGTCAGACATGTCATAGAGAAGCTCACTATGTCACAAGCCCAAGGCAAGCTGAATCTTTGCTGTGAGACAGCATGAAGGACCCAGTACCCTAGCAGCTTTTGAACTCCTGGGTCTGTGTAAAACACAGTTGGAAAGTGCCTTTTCTAGACGATGGCCAAGTTAAAAAAAGAAGCCAGAAAGTTACTTTTTAAAAAGAATTCTCAAAGTATCAGTTACTAAAAAGGATAATTTGAATTAAATTTTAAATGTGCAAAAATGGCCACAATGTAGGTTACTACCCTTTATACTATGTCTAGAAATATGCACAAAGGTTGAACTTCCATCTGTGCAAAGTAGCATATCACTGAGCACCCCAAGTAAGTGGTTGCCTGACCTTTCGCATAATAAAAATCAAGAAGATAATATTTTCTTTTACGTGATTTTTCCCTTTGAGAAAATAGAAGCTGGTCTAAAGTATAGCTCAATGGCACAGTGCTTTTCCAACATTTGCATGGTCCTAAGTTCAATCCTCAGTAACCTCTTCCCCATAAATTAATAAATATTAGGAGCCATTATTTATAACTTAGTTAAATGTTTCCAGTTGCCAAACCTGTGTATATCTTCCTATAGAGACTGCTTTGTAAAGGAAGATAGCAAAAAGAAAAAAAAACAGTTGATGATGATGATAATAGACTTTTAAGAGATTAGAAAATTACTTGGGGTGCTTGGTGACAATACTTTGTATAGGAGGAAGTTCAAGCTTTGTGCATATTTCTAGATGCATTATAAAGGGTTGTGGCTGTAGGAGTTGAAAACATTTATGATGTGGTCTGAATGCTTCAGTAAAAGCAAATGAATCTAAGTAGTAGTTTATTACTGTTGCTTGAATTTAAAAATAGACATTCATATATTCTTTTTATACTTATAAGAAACAAAAAGTAATACTATTATATTGTAATTTCACTGCACATTTAAAATTTAAATTTAAAAATTTCAAATTATCCTTTTTAGTAACTGATAATTTGAGAATTCTTTTTGATTTTCTTCTACTTTTTCAACCTTCTTTTCTGGTTTGATGTTAGGAAACCCAAATTGAAGATGCTTGCATTTTGAACAGGTTGAACTTGTGGCCTTAGCTATAGCTGTCACTTCTCAATTTATTTTTTATCTTATCATGCCTTTCTTTCTGCAGACTGGTGAATTTTCAGCTCGTTTCCTTTTGAAGTTGCCAGTGGATTTCAGTAATATTCCTACATATCTTCTCAAGGTAAAAAATTTATAGTTATTAATGCAAGAATACAAATTAAAGTAATTATTTAATTTAGTATTTATATAACTTGTTAGCATTTTGTTTGAATGTGAATTCTACTGGAAATATTTTTTGTGATACATAAATAAATATCTGAGTTTTCTTGTTGCCTAAAACACTTTTTGTTTGTATTTATACCTGAAATTGAATTCAGAACCTTGTGCTTTCCCCCAGTTCTGTAACTGTATCTTTAAAAGTCATTTAGAAATGAGTTTGCTGGTATAAGGTAAAATTTAGTAACATAAACAAGTTAAACATTGAGGGAAATGGTTTTTATTTAATAATCCTATTAAGATGAAATACTCTCATAGAAAATGTCAAATATACATTATGTCTTAAAGTGGGTTACATAATTAACCACACTTGCTGAAGGGCATTTCACTTTCTTTGCCTGTAATTGAACCCAGGCACTTTCAGAACTGGGCTTGCCCAAGAGAGTTAGAATCCAGTTGCATCAGTGTCTATATAGCATTCTTTAAAAGTGGATGTAGGCAGATTATGAGCTAGGGAATACCTGTTTCGGGGAAAGACCTAGGGATTAGGCTGTGGTTAGTGAGAGTGAAACTAAATCAAAGAGGGAGCAGGTTCTGAAAAGGAAGCCTAAGTCAGAGACCCAGCTTCTTCACAGAGAAGGATTTTGGTTGTGATTTAGGATTTGGCTGTTTGCCCATAGCCAATTTCAACCTTGGGTTTTTAAATTTCAGTCTAAGAAAAACTTCTGCCCTCCTCACTGTTATATTTATAACTGTCTATGAAGAGGACCAAAATCCTTCAACAAGTTTCTCTCCATAGTATAGTCATCAGTAAATAGTTTTAGATATTAATCTTGCTAATGATAGGAAGTATGGTTTAGTAGAATAAAGACCACAATAATAGAATAAAAGTAAGGAACTTTTAAAAATATTTGCCATCTAAAAGAAAGAATTATTTTCTTTTTTTACCATGTAAAACATGGGATTTTTCTGTTTCATTTAACTTAATTTTAGTTTTCAGTTGACTGATTTTCCATTGTGAACTCATTGGTTGTGAAGTCCAAGTGAGAACAAAGGTCAGCAATTTCTGTCATTTTCTCCACACTGCTGTGGTGTAGGAAATGTACATAATAGGTCTGTGATTATCTAGCATAATTAATATATCAACAATAATTGGACTCTTTTAGAATAGTGAGCAGTATTCTGAGAAGCCTTTATAGCACATTTTCAATGACCTCTATATATGTCAGTTGCTTAGAATTACTAAACCTAAATTACTAAACCTTCTCCAGGTTATTTAATTTTAAATTCATTAGTATATGTGGGCATATCACTCACGTCACTGTCTTACTTCACAATTTACAGTTGTAGAGTCTCTGTTTCGATTTTTGTGTATGTGCCTTGTTTGAGTGGCCTTTATTTCACGCTAATGTTGCCTCTGTTCATATCCCCAAATATCAAAGTAAAATGTATGTGCTGGCTCATAATTAATTTTTTTCTCAATATCAAGTTCACATACTTTCTGTATGAGGAATTTTTAACTTTATATTATACTCCTACTTTTCTCTTGCCAATTGGATGAAAGTAAGGATTTTTTTATACCCAAAATATGAAGTGATTTTTTTCCTATAGATGATATGTCTGAACTGCAGCGATAATGTCCTTCTGAATCTTCAGTTCATGAAAAAATAGAGAAACAAGGACAACAAAAGGAGAAACTCATGTACGACTTAAAACAACATCAAAACATCACAACATCAGTATCACGTGTGTGTCAAATAAAGCCACACACTAGAAAGAATTATCAGCATACCAGAAATAATACAGAATACTTATTGAGGGTATACGATCTAAATTCATGAAGTTGTATCGTAACCTTTGGTCATGGTAATTAGCAGATACTGGTCTTAATTTTGTTAGAGTGAAACCTGCCTTATGTGTATGCCTATCTTTATTTCTGTTTGGAGAATTACTAAACCTAACAATATAATGTTAGTAAAATGTTCCCCACCCTGTTCCTGGAAAACTATACATAGCAAGAGACCCAAACAAAGGTTCTAATTTGTCTACTTAAAATATTTATTGGCTGAGCAAGAAATACTCAGAAAGTAAAAATGTATTTTGGCTGAAAGAAGAAATTTACTTGTAAAAATGATGTGCTTTTGTATTAGTCTTAAAAGAATCAGATTTATATACAATTCAGTGAAATTAAAACTCCAGAATTAGAAACCTCATTAGCATATCGAAATATGTCAGAAAATTCATGGATCCTATTGAGCTAGAAGGTTAAATAGCAATTATTTCCTTCTGGCAGCGGATATGGCAAACAACCTTGCAGAAAAAGTCAACAACTTTTCTTTGGTAGATAAGCGAATATTGTCTTTCTTATAGTTGAAATGGTTCTGGAGTGACTCCAAACTATGTATGTTGAGCCTTTATGCAGTCTGGACTAACAGCAGGGCTACAGCGAATTACTATGACTTGAGTACTTGGACTTTTGGTTTCTGCAGTAAATCTTGTTGGCATCATTTTATATGGCGTAGTGAGCCTATTCATCCTGATAATATACTTGCTGAAATTTAATTCCCCCCATGGAATCAGAATCTAGACTTTATGAAAATAAATTGATGCTGACAAACTAAAATAAGTCATATGTGTCAGGTTGTGAGGCAGTCCTTCTGAAGCACTGTGGCTCTGTGGTTATTCAGGCACTCTCAGTACAAACACAGGTCCCTCCTCTGCCAAGCTGAGGCAGAAATCAGGAAGTAAGATCAGGTCATGAAGACATGTATAAGAGCCTAGGACAAACAGAGAGTGGCAGTAAATGTCTACTTGTTACCATATGATGCTTCAAACAGGTCACTGAAATGGAGGACAGAATCTGAGGACCTGGGCCTAGGGGGACTATCTGGTCAGTGTAGGAGCAGCCTTGTCAGCCTGATATTGGCGAAGAGATTACTTACCTGGAGTCAGCCTGCTTTCATTCAACCCTAGGTGAACAAATACAGATACTCCCAGGGCCAGGGAAATACTGGAAAACTATGCTCTGGCTTGATGTCATAATAGGAGGACATGGTGAGAACTTTAATAAACTAGCAAGTTGTGTGCTTCATTTAGAGGCAGCAGCTGCTATACAGCCACAGAGTTGTTTTCCATGCAAAAGTGTGGGCCTAGCATTGCCAGATATGCAGATGTTATTATAAGGATCCCAGAAACTCAAAGTTTTTATTTTTTAAATGTGAAAAATTTCTGCCTTTTTAACTGATGGAAATTATAAATAATTTTAAAAACACTGCACTGGCCAAACAGAATATTACCACATGTTGGTGATGACATGTGGATTCACTGTGTGTGTGTGTGTGTGTGTATTTTTTTTTTTTT